GGAAAGAGGAAAATAGAGAAAGGAACCTCCTAATAATAATCCATTCAATTTCAATTGATAGGATATATAATGTTGTCAATACTCAATACTAAATATTAACCCAGTGGTGCTATTTATACTAATACAATAAAGAAGACTGTTTCCCTAATTAAACAAGGAAAAACAAGAATATTGCTTTCTCAATAAGAATATACAGTATATTCCGATAGGGGAAAAATACTTGTCGGATTATTCTCAACATATGCTATTTGATCGGATTGTAGTTGCATGAATTGCAACATTATGGAGTGCTTGAATAACTGACTTCAACCATCCAATGACACAATCTCATTGTATCCATGATTTCGTGATTGATTACTTTACCATATGAAGTGGACTTAGATCTTGTGTTTGCAGTAATATTGATTCTATTATGTTTGTCTTATCTTCAACTTTTAATGTGCTTATTACATTTATACTGCTTATTGTGACTTTTTATGGTTCCAGGAGCATTACAAGGACCTAAAACAAAAATCATTCTTCCCCAAGCTTATTGACTATATTACTTCAGGTCCTGTTGTGTGTATGGTATAACTCTCTCTAGTAGAATCCTAATTTCACTTACATTTTTGCAATGTACCTGCTGAATTCAGTTTCTCGTTTTGATGTAATGTTATGTTTGCAAGGCTTGGGAGGGTGTTGGAGTAGTGGCATCAGCACGGAAGCTTATAGGGGCTACAGATCCTCTTCAAGCTGAACCAGGCACAATAAGAGGAGACCTTGCTGTCCAAACTGGAAGGTAAGGCCTCTAATGCTTTTGCATCTGACTTTTACTTTTGATTGCCTTCACTCAGTCAAGAATCAAGATAGGCTGCACTGCTGCACAGCATGTATATTTCTTGTTGACACTAGTATGAAGATTCAGGAGTGACAAGACTTTATGTTGAACTTGGCAGGAATGTTGTTCATGGCAGTGACAGCCCTGATAATGGCAAGCGGGAAATAGGTATGACCTCTTATGCTGTCCAGTTTAACCCAAATACAAGCAACAAAAAAGTTGTGAATTGTGAAAAAAGAATAAAAAGTTAGCCATTGATTTAAACATTAGAAGGTTGCAAAAGTGTTATGGATACATAATAAAGCTTGAATTTTAAATATTATTTACCACCTGTAGTTTCTGATCATATACTGCTTTGGAGACAAGTTTGAATTTCCAAGATTCTTTATTTTTTGGAATAGATCCACATTAGGACCTGAACATTGCAAATATCAAATGATGTCTTATTACAGTGCTTAATGCTGGTGAAAGGATTATGTTACAGACTACACATGGTGAAAAATAATAAGTGTAGTGATTGTAGGAATGTTTTTGTGGTATTATCCACCAACCAGGTTGTTAAACTTAGAATTTAGGTAAAAAAAAAGTCAGACAACTCAAGTAAAATCAAATCATAAACTTGACTCACTCTTTCTTCAAAATTGATCGTTTAGAAACATACCCTAGATCCTAGTCCCCAAACATAAGTTAATAGCATATCCCAACTAATATTCAACATTCCAACTTCATGATAAAGCAATTTCGTAATAAAATACTAACGTAATTCAATAATTGACCTAACTGTTTTGTAGTTGGACAAAACAGAACAAAATAACAATGAAAACTTTAAATTAGCATTGTCCCAATATATGTTGCAAAACGTAGTAATTCCAGCAGAGTATACACGAACGATGCCCAAAACTATATACATTTTGAGGCCTAAACCGTGGATAAATCCAAGATTGTAACTTCAATGAGTGTGCCAAAAAAATGTGTACATGCAATTTAATTCATTTCTGTCCTTTTAATCCTGTTATCGTGCTCCTAACACTTTGAGAGTTGGTTTGAGATATATATCAAATTGTTAGCTTGAATTATCTACAGGCAATTGTATTACATATTCAATACATTATTTTGTCAAGATCTGTGCAACAATCCAACCCATTGTTCTGAACTTCTATGATCAAAATATATGTGATTCCTGTGAAAATACTTGGTTATTTTTGTCAAGATCGTAATTATATATCTAAATCATATAACTATACATGACTGGTCAAAATTTCAAATTTATTAGTGATCACATGACCACTTAAAAAAGTCATACAATTGATTGGCATAATATTTTAATAGTTAGGGGCTGAATCATATAACTAGACATGAATGGTCAAAATTTTAAATTTATTAGTGATCGCATGGCCACTTAAAAAAGTCATGTACAATTGAATTGGGCATAATTTTTTTATAGCTAGGGGATTTGTACTGCAATGTAAATGTTACCGATAATACTGTGATTCTTGATCAACTCGTTATTTCCATGTATGGCAGCTCTATGGTTCAAGGAAGGCGAATTATGCGAATGGACTCCTGTCCAAGCACCATGGATCAGAGAATAGTAAACTGCAGATGCCCAATTACGACGATTCATTCCGTTTCTAGGTTCAATAACCTGAACAATTGTTTTCAGGGGCTAATGTAGCACTACATTAACTTTCAACTTTAAACAGTTACTCAAATTTTGTAAAATTTTGCTCGACTCATTCTTCAAGCCCATACCAATTTCTTTTTCCATTATTTGAAAGGTCCTGCCATGTTTCCTGAATACTAAAGTGCCACTGCAACAGGCACTAGCAACAAGAGTTGTAATTAAAAAAAAATAGAAAATGCATAATCCACTGTAAATTTACTCGTAAAAATGCAGCTTAATCGATCCACTGAACAAGATTTATGAGCAAAACAGGCAAAAAGGTTCATGGTTTTTTTTTTTTTTTCAGTCAGAAAGTTATAGATGAATTGAATTTTGCAAGTTCACCAGAGATGCTTACTGGCAAGCTTATCAATTTTAACTAACATTTAAACTCTTTAATTTTTTCACTAATTTTTCCTAGCACACTCTAAATTTACCAAAATTTGGTATAAAAACTAGAGTATCTGATATACTTGAAACAATACATGGTCTACACTTGAAGTGTAAGCAGAATGAGATGCAACACAACATTACAGAAAATAGTTTGCATGGAATTTAACTACTGATAGAAGCAGTGGAAGGTGTAACTGTTTGTTTAACCTTGGCATAATTGCTCATTTCGTTGCTTCCAGATCATTTTAATCCGACATTTCACAATCTTGCGAAATTTGAACACCTTCTTCACTTCTATAATGAGATTCAGCAGAAGTTGATGAGATAGATTCAGAACTGCCATTCCCCGATGATGCTGTTGTCTCTCCAGAAGATGACACACCGGCACGTCCGGTATCTTCAACTTTATAGAAATGAAGAATGGAAACGTTACACTGCCTTCGTTGTTCAACGTTACTAACCCTAGGGGAAGAAGAACCATCAGAATGCATGCCCATCATCGTTATCTCGGAACATGAAGTGCTTGCTGGATTTAAATCTGCCTTAAGATTTTCTTCCTCAGTGCAAGGTGCACTAACTGAACAAGCATTTATAACCTCGGAGGATGTGCACGCACTTATATCGCGTCGAGCACCAAGCTTTAGCTTCATGAGAGTAGCCTCTGGATCCAAACGAAGCCAACTTAATCAGAAATTTATCAGGTCAATAAACATAAACACTACTTAATTATGTGATTAAACGTTAAACATACTTGATCTGAACTTGAAGAAATTAAACACTGATGTGGTATTTTTGTTTTTAGGTTTTTTTCAAATGAAAAATCAGATCGTCGAGCTTATTTTCTGTTTGAGCAAATTAACAAATGAAGGAAGAGAGAGAAAGAGTACCGTAGACGGAGAACGTGTCATCTTTGAGAATCTTGGACGGAGAACCTTCTAAGGTGTCCAGCGACGAAGTGGAAGCTCTGATTCTGCCGAACATTTCTGATGCCGCGCCGCGCCGCGCCTCGGTTCGGATCGGATCGGGTAATAAGCCGAGATGAGAGAGAAGTATAAATGGAGAGAGAGAGAGAAGCAGATTTTGTTGGCGCCCTTTCGAATTTAACAGATTTAAAGCGGGAATCGTACTCCGCGCACTTTTTGTCGACCAATTTTGTTTTTCCTTTTCTTTAATTTTATTTTTGTTTTCGATAAAAATCTCGATCAAAGAGTGACAAAAGATCAAGTAGGCAGGCAGCTGCTTTTTGGGCTGGGCCTAAGCCCATATAATTGATTGACCCATGTAATTACACGTTTATATTAAAATGGGTGTCAAATATGTGAATAACTTTGCTACACACTTCTAGAAAGAAGATAAGTTCAACTAGATCAACATATTATGCCTAAAAAACAGTAAAAGTAAATAATGAATGGAAATGACTATATAGTCTTCGGTCTTCATATCACTTATTAGGTTTAGTAGGTTGTTTCATAATTGTTATTTCAGTTGTGGTTAAATTAAGCTCGTTCAATTATTATCAACATTGAAGATTTAATGATATAATAATTAATCTTTATTCTATATTAATCTTACACCAATATTCTTTAATTTATGACAATGTAATATTTATATATTTTCTCTAAAATATATTCACCCTAATTTAATAAACAATTATATAAATGGAAAATTAATATAATGTAAATAAAAAAATATTAAATCTAAAAATACATGAGTGTAATTTATTTATTAAATAATATTTTAAAACATGGTTGAGACTTGAAACTGAATTATCTTATGCTGACAGTATTTTTATCAATTACTTGAGAATGATATTCTCAAAACCAAATTGATTATTGACTTATCCTGATTTAATGAATTTAGGGTTTATGGTTTATATATATAAATTAGCAAGTTATTGCTTGAAATATATATAAATTATAAGAATATGAATATATGTAAAGCTTAAAGTAGTTCAATAGTAAATCAATGTACCAAAATAAAATAAAAATGTAGTTAACGGTAACTTTTTCTTTTGAAGAAAAAAAATTTGATTTGGGAGAAGCTATCTTGTAATTTTACTTTTGTAAGGGAGTTATGACACCCTCTACCTCTCATGCTATAACATATATTATAATATAAACTGAAATACTTCAATATAAAAAAAATAATAAACTCAAAATCCATAAAAGTAGAAAGAATCACATTTTAACATAAACTAAACTTAGTGAAAATAATAATTATAAAAGAAATAAAATATCATGAATCAAATCCTAACTACTTCTCGATGTCATATATCCTATCACAGTGACCCAACATTGAGGACTATGCCTTATCATCAATATCCTCAGTACCATGTTGATGATCACATGCAACAACCACAAGAAAACAAAACAAAAGAGGAAGGGAGTGAGAAACATCTCACTCTGGCTCACAACACAAGAATGCAACCAGCTAGCCAAACATAAACAACACATATAGTAATATATAACATACATAGTTACACATTATCATCATAATTAGTTCATTCATAATATAATAAACAACAATAAATGAAATTATAATGCATATGCAATGGACATGGACTATATGCTATCATGCATGTGACACCAGTAAAAATATCATACTTGTGCATTGTCGCTAGCAATACACTATAGTAGTCTAGAAGTACATATCAGGTTATACTCGCTGCAAACTTTCACTAGAAGGGCAAACTATAAGTGTTTGATCGAGATAGATAAATCACACAAGATACATCCCATGCTCATGAAGGCAGGACTGAGACTTCCAAACCGAGTTATTCCCAAGGTTGGCTTCCAAGCTTTTTATACAAGGGACCTTCCTTGGTGGCGTATTCCATATCATATCTTAAAAAAACACTTTTATGCACATGGTGCATGTTAAACAAACTCTATGTTAATATTTCACATATGATCTTATTAATTCATTGCTAACTAATCTCATATCATAAAATTATCAATCATTCTTAATATAACAATTAACAATTCAACTATATCAATTAAATATTAGCAATCAATGGCATAAGGGATCACATTACTACAACTCATACATAGCTCACAAGCATATCAATAGCACGCTCACATACTACATTTTCATAACTTAATCTCCTTCAATATCACGTGGTCCAAACACCTTAGTTAGAGTTGTATATGTGCTATTAAGTTTGTCTTAATTTTATTACAAAACTAAGACAATTATCTCCAACGTCTACGTTGACCACAAGAGCTAAATATGTCATCTACTATTTTAAATAAATACAAAATTGTAACATTTCAGCCTAAATTTGACAGTCTAATCTTTGCTCACTAATTTGATCATAACTTGAGTTCTAGACCTTCTTTTTAGGTGATTACAATAATATTTGAAAGCTAACATCCAAGGCTACAACTTTTATGAAGATTACAAAACCTAATTCTGTCATTTAAGTTTACTCGAAAGGGTTATAAAGTATGCACATTACATTTTGCGCACAGAATATAAGGTTCATCTTTTCACTTACATAACTCGGTCATTCCTTAACATTTTTATATGATTCTCGAGTCTAAACTATAGCCCCAAATGTGTACTTTTTAACCCAATAATTGGAGCTTAAATATAGTAATCACACACGTAAAAATCACATAAATATCAAAGTATATTCATACCAAAATTTTCATAACAAGGCACAACATATATCCAAAACTCTTTTTTCTTGTAAATAAAAACTAATTTATTTTAAATATTTTAAAATTTAATTCCTAAATAAAAACTAAATTATATAAATAATTAAAAAAAATATCTTAAAAAATTTTTGTAAAAAAAAATTTCTAAAAAATTCTCACATAAGATAAAGATTGTGTTTAATATATAAATATTGAAGATCGATAGATGATAAATAAATTTCAAAATTATCTCCATAATTTTTCTCAAAATTCTTGTTTGTATTAAACTATCTTCTGGAAATTTAACACGTCTTGACTATTTTTTTTTACTATTTTAAATTTGTATAAAATTAATAAGAAGAAACAATAATAATTTATACTAATATATAAAGGGAATACTTGGATGTGTAACTACCTTTGATCTCCACTTTTTAATAGACCATTATATCCCTCAAACATAAAAAAATGCTTATATATCATTTCTAAATAATTACACACAATCTTTTAATATTCTATTTATGTATAACTATTAGAGGCACGAAGTGCCTCGACCCCTCTAGTAATAATAATAATAATAATAATAAGTTGTTTCACTCTTCTTATATAAACTTTTGAAATCAGGAAATAGTAAAAGTAGTGTGACATTTTTGTAGTTAAAAATGAAAATGAAAATTAAAAAAAATTACACAAACAAACCCTAATTCCCCAAGTGTTTTGTAAATCGTTGGAGTGATTAAAATGTCAAAATTATTTAAGTTCTACTAAAAGAATTATTATAAGTACTCATGATTAAACCAGGAGGGTCTACTAAAATAAAGAACTTTTGAGATACACATCACAACTTTTGAGAATTTCTCTTCTAAAATTATTTTTTTTGAAAAAAAAACTTCTATTCAAATACATTCTAAATCTATTTAAGTTTTTTTTTTTTTAAACTACTATTAGTATGCTTCATATGAAACAGATGTCTACACATGTATGCTCAAAAATTCATCACGTGCCCCCATTGAATAGGAAGCCTCTTAGGCCACCTTTTACCGTGTTTCTTAAATTGTTAAGGGCGTTGCAAAACTTGTTTTATTTACGGCTAGAGGAGTAGCAATTAAATTTAAGCTACGGTTACTTGTGCATGTAACTCTCGATCAATGTTTTTAAACCAGACCAGTCACGTAACCGATTTAGGTATTAATTCAAAAATCAATATTAATAAAATAATAATAATAATTATTAATATAAAATTAATATTAAATAAATATAATATTACAATTTTAGAACACTAAAAATTAAAATAAAATATTATTTATAGATTCTTAACATTTAATATATACATAAAATTTTAAACTATATATAATATAATATTTAAGTTTAA